TCTAATTCAAGTAAAGATTGCCTTGTCTATCGGTTTTGATGCATGATTTGTGAGCAGTATCTTTTATATATTATCAATAATGATATTGTTGTGACGTTATTACCTTTTTGTTACAACCTCTGTATTAATTACAAATAAAATACACTTTCGGTATTCAGCCAGATGAAAATGTACACAATTATAATATTATTTGTTATAAAAAACCGACGTCAAAAGTACTTGTCCGTTTTTGCTATGTTAGTTACCGCGGTCTCTGAAACGCCTATGGAAATCCTCGTCAAAACGAATCATCAAGCCCAAACTCAAGGTAGCTGCTGTACACTGCACATTATCAGATCAGCTCTAGGTCACCATAACATTTTATTTTTACGGAAATTACATTTATTTGTCAAGTTTCATTGAAATCGGTTAATAACAAGTGGGTGAAATTTAATAAACCGGATTTATACCCTAATGTACCACCCTTAGAGGTGGAATATTTTCTTCGAATTTGAATGTGACTGCTACTAAGGTACCCCCTTTCCATCAAAAAAATAATAATCGATATCGGTTCACAAATGTCGGAGTAATACATACAAAAAATACAGTTGAATGAGAACCATCTCCTTTTTTGAAGTCGGTTAAAAATGCGGTATTGCCGATGTGACATATTTAGTTGACGACTGTGTCAAAAACAATAAAGGCCATTGGGACTTGAATCCATTGAATCTATAGAACAGATTCGTGATAACGACCAGCTACAGCTGACGAAAATGCGAAAAGATTTAGAATCTCCCTGTGCATTTGTATGGAGAGTAGCAGTAGCAGGGCTAAAAATGCCGCATTGGCAGAAACATAATATGACTAATTGACAATTCATATTATGAATTTTCAAACAAAACGAAAAACGCAATTCATCTATTTGACTGTCAAATAGATGAATAGCGTTATATGAATTGTAAGAAATTCATAATATGAATTGTCAATTAATCATGTTATGATTCTGCCACTACTGCCACTTTAGCCCTGCAGTTTACTATGTTTCAAACGTTTCAATTCAAATTGATTTTTATGAAATATTATTGCTTTTATTATCTGTTTTTAGACACAATCACCGGCGAAATAGTTCTGGCTTAGTTAATGTTATTGACAAGATATGTGAGTCAAAGGTAATGAACGAGAGATTAAAATGTTTGGTCGTTGATATAGGCATCAATGGGTGGACAATCATAAGAGACTCATTTACAAATATTACTTCATCTTCTTCTTATCGTATCGATGACATGCACCACACTACTGTGGCCCAGAATTCAGCCACACCGACCGCGTCACTAGTAGCCACCATTTAATTCTCAAGCGTGCACGTGTTAGGACACGCGATTTGAGGCAGACCATCGTTTGAATCACACCGCAGAATTAGAATCCCCATCTGAAAAAATTGTTCTTACTTTGACCAACCTGAGTCCGAAGCGTGTTCATAGACTTCTAGATCAGCCGTGGCCATTCGTGTCCAGGACAATGACTCTCAAAAGGCAGGACAAAGGTAGATGATAAATATTACTTAACCATTTTATGTCATTTAGCAATGATATGCATATAATAAAGACGTCGTGTCGGTGGAGTAGGAATGTCGCAACTCGCTCGCTACCGCTACGACACACTTCAGCAGGGCGGATATGAGCGGCTATTTAATTTCCGAGCTTTCAGTGATCGTTTCATATTCAACTACCATACTTACAAATTTCTGAACGAATGTTCCGGCGTCAATCGTGATTTTACTTATGATTAGTATTGCACATGTTGGTATATATTTATCTGTTTAATTACTCTAGTTCGAGTTTAAGAAATATTATTGAATACTTGTAGTGACGTATGTACGACAGCATCAATGTTTACGCCACAGTCAGACCAGCCTTTGTTAACATTTACACTTTGTGTACGTGATCTGCTAAAACTATGTTAATTAACTAAATCAAAAGGAATAATGTACTCGTGCCACCCACAGAGCTTTTCACAAGCAATTGTAGTACGGGCTTCGAGCGAAATTCTGTATCAATTACGCGAGACACCAGTGAACGAACGAGTATTCCAGAGGTCGAATGAATAGATGCGGCATATGCAATACATCCATGCAACGGCGTTGGACTTGTTATATTTTGATTTAATATCGTGATGTTTTTACTAGCATAATATTCGTCTCTTTTTTTGTGAAAATACTCCACAAGTATATTAATAATAGGGGTTAAAGTATGAAATTGCCGATTTGTACTGAAAATCTAAATTGTTTATTTTTTAAATTTTTAACAAATTTATTTAATCAAAATAGTTGCCATTATTATCTATACATTGCTGCCATCTAATGGGAAGGTTATTAATGCCTTTGCGATAGAACTCCGACGATCTAGACTGCACAAACTGTGTGAAAGCATTTTGTACTGCCTCCTGGGAAGAAAATTTCTTGTCACGTAGATAATTGTCCAAATCACGAAAAAAATGGTAGTCCGTTGGAGCAAGCTCTGGTGAATACGGAGGATGACGAATGGTTTCTAACTGCAGTTCCTGAAGGGTCAAAATGGTTTCTCGTGCTGTGTGAGGTCTCGCGTTGTCGTGGAGCAATAATGGTGAAGATCGATTCAAGAGTCGGGGCTGTTTTACTGCTAGTTTTGTCAACATGGTTCGGAGTTCGGCACAATAGACATCTGCCGTTATTGCTTGACCAGATCGGAGAAAACTATAGTGAATAACACCATGCTGAGACCACCAAACAGTTACCATTACCTTTTTATTGGTAAGTTTTGCTTTAGGACACTGTTGTGGCATTTGACCTGGGGTCAGCCATTGCATTTTTCTTTTCCGGTTATCATAAAGAATCCACTTTTCATCACATGTTACAATTCGATCCAATATTCCTTCATTTCTGTACCGGTTCAACAAGGCAACACAAGTTTCAACACGCGTTTCTTTCTGCAGATCAGTCAAATCATGAGGCACCCATTTTTCGTATTTTTTTATTTTATTGATTTGACGCAAGTGAGTCAATATTGTGGGTAAGGTAACGTTAAATCATGCCGCTAATTCCTGGGTAGTTTGACTAGGATCGGCTTCCACTATCTCTCTTAATTCATCGTTATTCACCTGTGTGGGCGGTCTTCCTCGTGACTCGTTCTTTAAGTCGAAATTTCCATCACGAAAGCGTTTAAACCAAAATCGCACGGTGCGTTCATTAGTAGACCCCTCTCCAAACGCAGCATTGATATTGCGGGCTGTTTCTGCCGCGTTAGTTCCGCGTCGGAACTCGTATTCAAAAATCACTCGAATTTTCGCAGTATCCATCTTTCTTGTCTAAATTGAATAACAAAAACAATTGAAAGTCGATATTCAAATGTTTCAAATTTAAAAAAAAAATCACAGAAACCATTTGAAAAAAGTTTCATTCGAAAACCTCAAACCATGAAGATTCTATGAAAATTCAAAGAACCTATTGCAATAAAACGGCAATTTCATACTTTAAGCCCAATATTATTGATACAAAGATTGAACATTATACAAAGAAAAAATTCTTCGACCCGACTGGACGTTGCGACGAGTCCAGTCGGATGAAAGAAATATTTCTTTATATTTTTAACTTTTTAAATTGCTTACCAGATGATACTATATTACTGATGATGACAATGAGGATTGGGTTTTTTATTGAAAGTTTTTGATATTTGTAAAAACGAGCTATTAAAAAAACATGATAAAATCTTTATTTCACATTTACTTGGCATTACCTGGACTAATGTCCAAATATATAGATATATTGATTATATAATAATTCACTGTAATCAGTGAATTATTATATACTCAATATTTCTATCTCATAAAGTAGACTAAATAATCGTGCATACTGTGAGATAAATAAGTGTCTTTCATCAGTAAAAAAACTAAATTGATTATATGAGGAAAATTCACGAAATGATTACTATTATAGTATACGTAAAGATGAACATTCAAATGCCATTAGCGAATTTCCACGTTTAGAAATTAAAATCTTACTCCCATTAATGTTGAAAACGAGAAAGTTTCATTAATGTTTATTTCTGAAATAAATCGTAACATTTGAATGGATTCGCGTGTTAATTTTGTTTGTAATATGTCTCGTATTAACACCTAGAATAGTTTTGATACATACATCATGTGAACGATTTTTGAAGTAGCCACTTGTGTGCAGCGTTTTCATGAATCCTTGCAGCAGTAAGCTTTAATTAGAGCAAAGTCAACACGCTGCGCCACCAGTGAGCTTTTTGCTCGCACGCCGACAGATTTGCACCAATTGCACCGTGCACGACACCGTTCCGACATGTAGGCATTAACGCATGCGAAGTGCATGCCGCTTCTGTAGAATATTGTTCTTTGTTGCGTTTTTTATTACAATGCATCATAGTTTTAAAAAGACACGGGTTTCCTGCTATTTCTTTAAAAATACGGTATTTGTAAAGTTATTTGGCAATGATATGCCTATTAGGCATTTTTTCGATAATCATTATTCAAGTGATCAATATAAGTAAGGAATAGGGTAAACATAATTTCAAAACTTAGTTAAAAATCAATGACAGAAAAGTAACCTGGTGAAAAAACGGGTCACTGATATATCGAGTTCTTCTTTTTTAAAAGTCGCGGGTGCCATGGACACACACACAGGGACAACCACAAATTACACCCAAACTCACTAGAGAAATAAATGTAGGGCATACTCTTTCACAAGGAGCTCTACAGCTGCATTATATATGCGTCTTCAAGAGACCGCTCTTAGTGATAAGGCCGCCTTTGGCCACATTATTTTATGATGTTTATTTTATTATTATATATTTATATGTTTAGTTTATTTTATTATGTAATGTGTCTATCTATCTATCTAATTTGTTTGTCTGTTATATCGACTGAAAGACTGTAGTGATAAACTAGGTTAGGGCTTCAATCTGCTTCAATGTTTGTGTTTTTTTATGCTGTATAGTTTTTAAAATCCACTTATTTTGTTGCAGGTTCTACACCAACGTCTTGTTACAACATTCTTAATTGGCGAGTATTAAATTCATGATTGCCATTTTGTATTAACATTTCAATTTATTTATAATTCTGTAGTTATTTAAGTATAATTTTCTAAACACTTTCTAATTATAATGGAACATAATATCATATTTGATTTTACTAGGTATACAATTAAAAAGGGCAAAATAATTTCGTATTTTTGTGAAATATACGTAACATTGTGTGACATGATATAAAATTAAAGTGGTTTATTAACCATCAATCTTGTTAAATGAATCATAGTAAAGGCTGATAAATAATTAAGAGCGTATTGTCCAGTTTCAAGAACTTCTTTTCAATTATGTTGTATGTTTAGTAGCAATATCTCTCACTGACAGTGAAGCAAAATATGATACCTGCTTATTATTATGGACACCAAGACCGAACACACTAAAGAAAAATAGATGTAAAAATAGACGAATATCACTGCAGCAAAAAATATCATGATACTCAATAAAAATAAATATGATACTTGCTTATCGAAGAAGGTGCACAAACTTTGAAAAACGCGTGAAATTCTTTGCCCGTGTTAAGCTATTTTGGCCGATTATGATCTGAATCTTTTCCGTACAGGAGATTCGTGCCCAGTAGTCGGATTTGTAATGGGTTAGTAAGAGGATTCAAAATTATCAATATATTTATTTTCTTTGATAATTCTTATGATAATGATCCTTGTTAATTTATAGTATTGTGTCAGATTTGGTTTTTCACTTTTTTTAAGTGTGACATTTGACACATTTAGATACGTCTCTTATACAAATACATGACACGACATTTTGTTGTTCCAATTATTTTTTATAAATACCAAGGTATAAGTATTTATCGAAATAATTACCATGATAATTGTCAGTGACAATTCACATTTACAAATTTGGTTGATAATTATGACAAAACGTATTCTCGACTATGAAATAGTGACGCTATTAGTGACTTATGTATTCAATGTTCGTGGTAGAAGCAATAAATTCTGGTATCTTTGACAATAAAAGAAGAATTAAATATCTCCGTAGACGTGACGTGGTTGTCACCCTATAGCGACAATTCTAGTCACCTCTATACATCTTGCACTATAGCAATCTGTGGTGGCACTAATAGAAGCCACTGTTTATTTGTCATTAATTCCGTTCCCTCTTGCCACGTGCCTCACACTACAGTGTCATTTCCGTCACTAGTTTTAATTAAAACCAGGGTTGGGTGGATATTGCACAAACGTCTAAAGCAAATTGCTTCTAGCTGTCCGAGTACTTGGCAATTAATTTCCTAAAATTTGATATACGTGGGGCACACTATAAGTTTCCTGAATGAATAAGAAAATAATACTATAAATGGTCAGAAATGAATTTATTGTTTCCCAAAACATTCTCCGTCAGCGTTGATGCACTTTTTCATACGAATGAACCCATTTTGAAACATTTATGCCACTCCTCCGTGAGAATCTCTGAAACATATTTTTCATACTCTTCGACAGCCTCTTCAGGTGATGAAAATCGTTAACCGCGTAACTGGTTCTTAATTTTTGGAAATAAATAAAAGCCACAAGGTGCTAGGTCGGGACTGTACGCGGGATGGCTCACAAGGTCAACGTTGTTGACCTTCAAAAATTCATTTGTCTGTCTGGCCGTGTGAGAACTGGCATTATCGTGGTGCAAGATGATACCGCATTTACGGTTATTTTTACGGAGTCTGTCAATAACTTTCGGCAAACAAATGCTCGTGTACCAATCACTATTCACGGTACAACGATTCTCCAAAGCAACAGTAGCCACGTGTCCAGTTTTATTAAAAAAAGAAGCAATCAACCGCTTAAAGGCACTTTGCACGCGCGCCACTTTGGTTGGTTTCGACTCGTCTCTTAAGACCCATGCGCTCGATTGCTGCTTTGTTTTAGGATCGTAACTATAAATCCGTGTTTCGTCACCTGTTACTATGTTCCACACCAAATTTGACGCCCCTTCGTTGAATCTGGTAAGCATGGCATTGCATCAAGTGACGCGATCCGTTTTTTGAGCTCAGTCAAATTGACTGTCACGGCGAAAATTTTCACGCGTTAAATGCATGATGTAGACAACCAATTTCTAAAATGCCGCTACAATGTAAAAACAAGTGACAGTCAGATGAAACAAACTGTATTCTACAGCCAAAGAGTTCCATTTTCAAATGTTCTAATTATTTTTTAAATATTGTTTATGCCAGTGGCCAGTTCCGTAAACTTATAGTGCGCCCTATGTAGAACTGTGTTTAAATATAAATCAAGTTTATAGAAGCCGTGGTAGCCTAATGGTTTGATTTACCGCCTCTCAAGCAGAAACTGTGGGTTCAAATCCAGGCTTGCATCTCTGAGTTTCTCGGAATTTATATGCGAAACTTAATTTGAAATATCCAATCTGCTTTTCGGTGAAAGAAAACATCGTGATGAAACCTGCACGTTGAAGAAGGTTCACAGCCCTCGGAAAACGTGTGAAATCCCCAACCTGCATAGAGCTAGCGCGGCGAACTATGGCCTAAACCCTCTGAGAGGAGACCCGTGCTCAGCAGTGGGATGTCTAAAAAGGATGATGATGTGTGGATAGTAATATTTATTCAGTGAATAATGTGCAGCATTGTAATGCTAAACTAAGCAACTTAAATACAATAGGCTGTGGAATGTGTTGATAATTTTTTACATTTTTAAACGACAGAATGCGTTCGATGAATAAAATATTTTGTTATTAAATAAATAATTTATTTCTAAAGTTAATTAAACTGATATCTAAAATATATCGTAGCAAAATAACATCAATCACAATTTGTTTAGCTACCCAACACAAACGTGTGTGAAAAGTAAACAATGCAGAATTTAGGGGTATTCAAATCCGCGTCATCGCGGTCGGTGTTCGGTAGTGATAGCAGTGTTATTACCGCTATCGCAGGATCTGTCGACTGTTCCGTGTCGCCCGCGCCCGCGCCCGCTCGCACTATGCGCAAACAAATACGTGCCGGTGCGCAAGGGTGCCTTATCCCAACACTTCATCAACACCGTAGGGGTTAAAATATCATTCCGGGGTTTAAATTTTATAATAGAGTTTGCCCGATAGCAACCAGGCTTTATAAAGTTAGAAAACTTTACAATTTTCAAATTTATTTGAAAACAATGCCCAGTGTTAGATACATTATTTTGAGAAGTAATTAAAAATAGATAAAATTGTGAATGTATCTTTGTAAATTTGAAAAATGATAAAGTCGGTACTTACTTCTTAAAGTTAAAGGCAGCCTTATGTTTTGAGTGACAAATCCAATTTTATTCTCGACTGCCCCTCTCGGCCCTCACCCCGCGCGCCGCGGACCGATCAGACCTTATCCAAATTGGATCTTGAATAATAAAGAATCGGGCGATTGGATTTTATTCCTTAAATTCAATTAGCACACGAGGGGCGTGTGTGTGACTGCAGACGAAAGATAGAGGAACATTATCGTATTAAAAGGGATTGTAGGGGTTTATTGGTCGTATCCCTTCCTTACCCTTTTAAAACTTTCACCCTTTACACACTTGACTAGCTTAGAAAAATTAATGGCTCATATATAAAAACGTAGATTAAGAAATGGTACCATACCGTATAAAGAAGTCATTAGAAATAAGTATTTGTTATCACAATTTTCTGCGTCGTTTACTATGTAAGTAAACTCACTCCCAGTTTTCAGTATGTATAAATAAAACTTCTAAATACACAAAAAGTTTTTTTTTTTGTGATTCAAAAGGCAGATTTAATGCCATAATGTTGCGAAACAATTTAAAATTGAATGTCCATTCAAAATGCCGAATCGGCAAAACAACTTTGCAATTCTGAGAGTTTCATGGCAAGTCTCAAAGACATCTTGTTTGTAAACACGATATGGTGATGAATAAGTGGAAATAGGATCAATATTGAATTGGTTAACGTATTTAAATTAAAAAACTCATTTCGGTTTAAAATAATCGTCAGATAGAGCCATATAGAGCATTAATTCATTGGACCTAATACATAATAATTTTTACGCTTGAAAAATATTTGTTATTCTATAGAGTACCCATTATAGAGTACCCATTTGAACAAATCAAAGGGGACAGCTTTGAACTCCGTTTACAGGTTCTGATTAGCTTCCTCTCCTAATATTTTTATGAGAAGAGGCTTTTTTTAGTTATTTATATTCTGTTTTATACTATTCCTGTGATTTTATAAGTAATTATCTAAGAAGTTAAGTTTTTATTTATTTTTCATATTGCAGTGAATAATTTAAGCTTCAATTGAGTTTCGGTTCTGTCTAAATTTATTTTTGTAATAGTCCTGTAATTATAGATTTAACTAAACAGATTGAAGAACTATAAATATTGTAAGTGTTTTGATAACGGATTTAATAAAAATATTTTGCAATAAATAAGTGTGTACGGTAATTTATGACAATGAAACAAATATAAATACAAGTTTGAACTCTATTATTGAATGGCTTAAATATAATGATCTAGTTATAAATCTTGACAAAACTAAAGTTATGAACTTTAAACAAAGATACAATAAACCTATGCAAACTAGAGTGGTCTATGAAAGCAAGGAGGTCGGTGAAACAATGACAGTAAAGTTCTTAGGTTTATATATAGATAATAATCTAAAATGGCAAACACACCTAGAATATGTATGTGGTAAGATACTAAAGTTTTCTTATGCATTGTTTAGGCTATCGAAAATAGTAAATTTAGACGCTCTAGTGACCGCCTACCATGGTTATGTAGCATCCAACCTTAGGTATGGAATCATTTTTTGGGGAAATGCACCACACATTGAACGCATATTCAAAGCCCAAAAGAGATGTATTCGGGCTATATGCGGCTTTAAAAAACAGATAGCTGTCAACCACATTTTAAAAATTTGAAAATACTGACTTTACCATGCTTATATATATTTGAAATTTCACTTTTCGTAAAGCGTCATCTTCATTTATTTGAATTCGTCACACGAGCCCGCCGTTCTCATCAATTG